CCTCCCCTCCCCTTTCATATCAAGAGTCCTCTGTTCTTACTTTCCCTTTCACATCAGAGTCTTCCCAACCTCAGTTGCTCCACCTTTTTCACATCAGTCCTCCATTCTTTCAACCAATCATCAGGGTCCTCTGTTGCTCCACCTTTTTCACATCAGTCCTCCATTCTTCCCCAGCAGTTCCCTCCCTTTCTTTCACATCTGGGGGTCCTCCGTTCCCTCCCTTTTCTTTCACATTTAGTCTTTTTAGGTTTGTGCCTCATCTCCTTCAAGCAATCTTAAGCTTATAATCAAGCCTATCAACCCTATCATGGTCCAAATGTATAAGCGGTCACTTCTTACATCTCCTGACCCAACTTGCCTTACTCTGGGTCCAGGGGCAAGCAGAAGCTGATGCCCATTGTTAAGGGCCTGGCTTGCGTCTCAGCATAAAAGGTGCCACAGTTGCTCCCCGAAAGGACAACTAAGCTCTAGCAGCACCTCTAGCAGCAACCATGGGGATGAGCCCAAACCTCAAGAGACTGCTCTTAATTGGTCCCACGCAGCACTACTTGGGCAAGAGAACAGACATCCTATAGGCCAGGGTTGAAAGTTTAGAGATTGAGTACATAGAGCCCTTATTAGAAGATGACCATCAGGCCCGCTGAGAGATGTGATCATTGCTCTTTGGAGCGATCGTAAAGGGGAAAAAAAAAAGCTAAACTCCTCCAAGCATCTCATGAGACACACTGTTCTTTCAGGGATATCAGCTATTCAGACATTTTTCTATTCACCATTGTCAATGCTGGGTTTAAAACCTTACCTGGATATCTTGACCCATCATCACATTCCCTAACAGATGGGGTTTGCGAATAGTTTCCGCCTCATTGGAATAATAATGTATTATACAGGATTTACACTGAGTGGCCAGATTATTATGACCACCTGACGTTTGTAGGCAAATTAGCTATAATTTCGCGCTGAAGTTGCTTGAGGGCCAGACCATTATAAATGGGGAAGCAGGTTGTTTACCTCGACAATAGAAGTGATTTTTTTTTTTTTTCTGAGGATATGGGTAAACAATGCGATTTAACAGCCTTTGAACGTGGGATGATTGTTGGCGCTCAAGCCATGGAGCAAGTATCAGCAAAACAGCAGAATTCGTTAAATGTTCAAGAGCAGCTGTTAGTGTTTAAAGACTGGACTGTCAGCTGAAAATCTGGGTCTGAACGTGCGAATTGTGGCAGTCAGCGACTAGTCAATGTTAGGGCAGAACGGAGAGTGGCAAGACTGGTATAAGACAACAGAAGGGCAACAGTGCAGTGTCAGATTCCTCGCATCACCTTTCAACATCTCGTGGAGTCACGAGGCGGCCCAACAAAGTCATCTCGTGGCCCAACGAAGTACTGATGGGGTTGTCATAATAATCTGGCCACTATATAGCATCAACAGTCTTCAGGCACTTTACAATATAAAGAAGACATTACAGTTACAATACACGTCAAGACAAGATGGTAAGGAGGGTCCTGCCCATGAGAGCTTACAAGTGGTGGTAGCTGTGTGGGGATGAATTGTTTGAGAAAGTGATAGTACAGTGGTTAGGTTGAGGTGGGATAGGCTTCCCTGAAGATATGTGTCTTTAGGGATCACCTAAAAGCCGTCCATAGTAGGAGATAGATGGACAGGTTGGAGTAAGAAGTTCCAAAGGATGGGATGGACTCTAGAGAAATCCTGGAGGCGAGCACGGGAGGAATTAATAAGGGAGCTAGACAGCAAGGGGTATTGGGGAAGAGCAGAGGGGACAGCTAGGGTGAGGCTTCATCTCCAACCTTATCAAAATTTAATTTATTGAAGTTTTTTGTCATATGACCAAACAAGCGCTTTTGGGACCGCACAGGGTCCTTCGTCAGGCTTTAGCATTGACAGCCTGATGAAGGGACCCTGTGCGGTCCCGAAAGCGCTTGTTTGGTCATATGACAAAAAACTTCAAAAATCTAAAAGACTCACCAGATCTGCTCTGCATTTGGTGTGAACAAGGCCTAAGCCTTGGGTCCAGTATTTGACCGGCTTATTTTCCCAGTTTTGTAAAGGACAGCACAACATACTATGTATATCATATATAAAATATATTCTGTGGCTCCATGTCTGAAATGCATACGAAAGCTGCATTGCCTCTTATTGGACTGTTTATCGGGGTCTGCCATAGGAGGCTATAGTTAGAATTTTAAACCCACACATACTACAGCCAATTTTAGACTATAGCCAATCAACCAGCGATTTCAACTTAAGCTGGCCATACACCTTACGATTATCTGCAGATTTTCTGTGTTCAGATGGAAAAGGTGCAACAGATTCCTCCATCTACACTCAACTGTGTGGATGGAGTAATCTCCACCTGGGCCAATCTGTTGCACTTTTTCCAGAAAATCTGCAGATAATTGTAAGGTGTATGGGCACCTTAAGGCCTTGTTCACACCAAGCGCAGAGCAGTTGCAGACCGGATCAAAACTGCGTCCAATGTATTCCAATGGTATTTTTTGCTCTAGTTCACATCGCAGCGTGCTCTGGAACGCGTGCAAATGCACCAAAAACGCATGCAAATGCCTGGAACGCGCTGGAAGCCCATTTTAAACAAACATTTTTATTTTAACCAAAAATGGCCCGGAACGCATCAAAAACACAGCACAACCCACTGCACTGCGTGTGCAGAAACCTGAGCGGGTCTGCTCTGCATTTGGTGTGAACAAGGCCTAAGAGCATGGTTTTCCTCATTAATTTTCATTCCTCCGACACAGCTGATCGATTTTTTAATGATTGTATTTTAAACTACATGTTATCTTGTTAATCATTAAATAATTATAACAAACCATATAGTGATAATCCTGCACTATGCCTGCAAAATACTTAACTGTACAAGTGTAGCTTGAAAATTTGATGCTGGTTTTAACCCTTTCTCTTCCACCGGTTTATGGCATACGGCGGAACACCCTGTTCAATTTAACTGTGGCATTGCATGGCAAAGCGTTGTAACGCATTGCCGTGCGTCGTGATACGCTGTTACAATTGCATATATGCCTGCATAATCTTATCATAACACCAACACCGTGCGCAAATGATTTTTAACATAAGTTGCTTACTTACAATTTTGCGTCTTTTTTTTTTTTTTCTAGTGTTGCAAAACGGCGCAATTTTAAATGTACAAATATTTGTTGTTAACGCAATACAGTTTTATCTTTTAGAACTAGTCAGGAAAGTATGGGTTTTATCTTGTTTTGGGGGTTTTTTTGTGCACGGATAGTGATTTTAGTGTGCTTTATCAATTGAATTGTTTATCAAATCAATATTAAACTGGTAAAAATAAACATTTGCGCAATTATCGCAGGGCCTACAAATTTAGTAGCGCCATCTTTTTATTCTACCAGGCATTAATATATGGTTTGGGGGGTCTTTTACAAACACTAGCAACACAGCAGTAGAAAATCAAAACAATGGGAATGATTGCTAAAATTATGTGGCCAGCTGAGGTGTAAAGTGTTCCGGAGGGCTTGGCAGTGGAAGGGTTAAAGGTAGTAGATGGACACCAAATAATGATTTCATGTCTTTTTTTTTTTCCTGTAGGTTAACTAATAATTGCATTATTTTTGAAAACATCCCCATTTTACCATAATTCTCCCCCACCAAAATAAATATTTGTATTGTGTGCTCTGTATAGGTAATACAGTTATTGCTGAATAAATAGCTGACAATTGGCTCGGGGACGTAACTGGTTATACATATAAATGAAATCCATATTTTGTAAATCTTATGAGCTTTTACATTTCCATTTCTGTGTGTGATTTGCAATTTTATATATGTGCATTACAGCTGCCATATTTGCTTTACATAACTCCAGTTCTGCTACAGGTTTTGCAGAGCTAGACAGTAGTTTTCAGCTGACTCTGAAAACAATGCACTCACTGTGTGGCTGATATATTATTTCAAAAGCTGCTAGCAAAAAGACTAAATTATTTGCAAGGCACCCTCCTGTGGCTAATTTACAAATCCCTGTATGTCTCCATTTTGTACAATAGCAAGATTATGGAAGAGCAAATTAACTTGTTTAATGTTTCTTCCACATTTTTAACACTGCAATGATAACTCAAAATATGAGCTCAATGACAATACTAGCTCTCTATATATTTTAAGCACTGCAATAATAACACAAAATGTCTACTCGCTAAGGCCTCACTTATACACTGAACGTTTTGTACCACTTTTTGTGCTCAAAAGCCCCCCTCCTCCATTAATTTCAATGATCCTGTTTACATTTGAGCATCATGTCGCCTGTAGCAAAATGCCCGTCACTTGTAGCAAGTACATGAGCTACCTTTTGGCAGATTCTGCCCTTCTTGGCCCCATAGATTTCAATAGAAACACTCAAACGTGCGTTTGTGCATATTTTCACGTGCGTCTTGTCCAATGGCATCAATGTGCCGCAATCTGCTCATTACATGTGCCACATAAACTTAATAATCGGCTAACTAATCGATTTTGAAAATAATCGTTAGCTGCAGCTCTAGAGTGGTCATTATATTGATGTACACACCTCTCGTCATAAAGCAACGTTTCGGGGTCCCTTCATCAGGCATGATGAAGGGACCCTGAGTGGCCCCGAAACGTTGCTTTATAACGAGAGGTGTGTACATCAATAAAATGACCATTCGAAGATTTTACCTTGGTGTGCTGGTGATATACTTTACTATTTGGATTTGAAGTTTCACCATCCATTATCACTGCAGCACCCACTTTAAAGGGACATACCAGTAAGTAGTGCGGTGGGAACCTCCTTTAAAAATATGCACAAATGTGCTGAAAACGCACTTATTTCCACAGGGCATAAGTGTGTTTTTACCCCTAAAATACTCTATGCTTACCCTTTATTATAATGGTTAAAGAATGCCATTTATGTATTATATTGGTTCCTTTCATTTACTGTTTTTTTTTTGTTGTTTTTTTTTACCCTTTTTGTTTTTCTTTCCAGAATAAAATCCATAGTTACCCAGTCATTTGGACTGTCAGTTGGAAAGCTGACACAACTAACAAGGGTCTGTTACTCTTTACTGCCATGTCAAATCCCCTCAAACAGGTTTTTAACAAAGACAGAACATTTCGCCCCAAGCGTAAGTTTGAGCCAGGCACACAGCGATTCGAGTTGCACAAGAAAGCCCAAGCATCACTCAATGCAGGTCTAGATTTGAAGTTGGCTGTTCAGCTTCCACATGGAGAAGACTTAAATGACTGGGTGGCAGTTCATGTTGTAGATTTTTTTAATCGTATTAATCTTATTTATGGTACAATCAGTGACAGCTGTACTGAGCAGTCTTGTCCTGTTATGTCCGGTGGTCCGAAATATGAATATAGATGGCAAGATGAAAACAGATATCGAAAACCTACAGCATTGTCTGCTCCAGAGTACATGAATCTTTTAATGGATTGGATAGAGGTTCAAATAAACAATGAAGGACTGTTCCCTACAAATGTTGGTAAGTTTTTTTGAGTTTTCCATTTATCTTTTATATAAGGGGTGTCTGTGCGGAATTTTTTTTAAAAAAACTACTTGTCCAAGGGCTAAAGCGGGGGCCGAATCTACTTGTCCCAATACATAAGAATAGTTTTATTCAAAACTAGAGATGCACCAATACCAGTTTTTGGGTATAGAGTACCGTTATTTTGCTTTCGGTACTTGCCGATACCGAGTATCGGTGCTTCCCTTGGCATAGAGCAGGCTTCCTGGGCAATTAGGAAGCCGGGCAGCGGGTAGTGACATGATACCTGGCTTCCCGATTGCCAAGGAAGCCGACTCCATGTTGTTTGGCCGGCTTCATTGTGATTGGCCGGGAAAGCGGCTTCCCAGCCAATCAGTAAGGAGCTGGCTTCCTGACCAATCAGGAAACCAACTCCATGTTCCCCTATGGCACTGTTGGTCAGAGAAAATCTTCCTCTGACCGGAAGTTCCGGTACTGGGTAAGGTATCAGAGCATTTGGGCGAATACAAGTACTCGCCCAAATACTCTGTATCGGTGCATCCAATCAAAACTGTATTTGACTATGCTAAATAGTGCTTCTCATTGGTCAGATAGTACACCTGTACTGGCAGAGGGTAAGGACTGTTCGCCGAAACGTAAGTATAGCCGGGTATTTGATCGGGTAATTCCATTTTCCCATATTACCTGGGAAAGTGAACTTACCCTTTCATGCACATTGTAGGAGAGTTCTGCTGCCTGGCTACCACAATATGGCACAAAGTGGAATGGCGGCAGCACTCAACGCACACACACAATGTCCTACGCATGCGTTTGTTTGCATGAAGATGGCAGGAGCGGCAGGGTTTTTTTTTTTTTTACTTTCACTTATTTTACATTTTTTAATACATATTTTATTTTTTTTCTAACTTTTTATTACACGATCGACATTTTAGTTGTGTGACACGGTGCATTATCATGCATGCAAGAATTAGCCATCAAAAGATGGATACACTCTGTCCATAAAGGGATGGACATGGTCTGCCACAATACTCAGGTAGGCTGCAGCATTTAAAAAATGCTCAGTTGGTAATATGGGGCCCAAAGTGTGCCAAGAAAATATCTCCCACACCATTACACCACCAGCCTGAACCGTTGATACAAGGCAGGATGGATCCATGATTTCAAGTTGTTTTTGCCAAATTCTGACCCTGCCATCTGAATGTTGCAGCAACAATTAACTCATTAACCCAGGCAACATTTTTCCAATATCCTATTGTCCAGTTTTGGTGAGCCCTTGTGAATTGTAGCCTCAGTTTCCTGTTCTTGGCTAACAGGCACCACATGTGGTCTTCTGCTGCGGTAGCCCATTTGCTTCAAGATGCTCTTCTGCATACCTTGGTTAGGAGTAGTTTTTTTGTTACTGCTGCCTTTCTGTCAGCTTGAACCAGTCCGGGCATTCTCCTCTGCCATCAACCATGTATTCTTGCCCAGAGAACTGCCACTCACTGGATATATTTTTTTTTTTTTTTTTTTTTTAATATTATACATTTTTATTGGTAGTATCTCAATAAACCATACAGGACAATACATGGTGCCTGGGTGGCAATCATCACAGATAAATTTCCCGGAGGGCATCAGGGCAATGGTGCTTGTACAGGCAGCGTCTAGATAACGGTAGGTACCTCTTCCATATGTAGGACTCGCTTGACGCAGTAGGGTATCAAGTAGGGCAGTAGCGTGGGTAGTAATCGGGTAATGTGAAATCATGACTTTTACATGTTATATAGGGGCGCACTTTCTAGTCATGGTTCATGTCATATTCAGCTGTCTGAGTATAAATAGAGGTTCCGTAGGCACGCTCCACCTGGGGGGTGTAGTGTGTGATGAGCAGAGTACAACGACCCACACATCTTATGAATCCTTCATACCGATAAGTATTACAGAGGGTTCCTGAGCTGAGCGATCCCAGTTGTTGCCCATAGGCCACAGCCAGGTTGCAGGAGCTGCGGCACCACATAAGACAAACATCAAACAGCACGACATGTGGTAGGGGGGACAAACAGAGGGATGAGAGATGGTCGAGGAGTCAGGTGTTAGCGGGTATAGAAATTGTCCGGCTATGCGCGGGCATCAATGGGGCTTCATTGTAGAGAAGAAAAGGATGGGTACATCATAAAGTGCAGAGGCGGCGAGGAGTGTTAGGGTCTAAGTATTTGTCGATCCAGGGGGACCAAGTAGACTCAAATTTGGACATTTTATCATTTAAGTTGTGCAGTTCGTATTTCATGGGCCATAACCCAATGAATATGGTTAATTTGTGCTGGTGATGCTGAGCGTTGACGTCAGCCAGTTCTTTGCTATTTCCCTCTTTGCTGAAGTGCACATATGCATGGCAAGGTTAAATTGTTTACGGGAGAGACAATGTGGTCTACAATTGAGAAGTGCAAAGTAGGGGTCCCTGTTTATTGTTTTCATGAACAATGATGAAAGAAGGCTGAAGACTTTTTCCCAGAAGGCAGAGACCCGTAAGCAGTCCCACCATATGTGTAAAAATGTGCCTCCATCGGGACATCCCCGAAAGCAGTTGAGGTTATATAGGGCCACTCTAGCAGGCACTAGGTACCACCGCATTATGACCTTATAATTAATCTCCAGCATGCCTGCGCATCGCGAGCTGCTCCTGGTATTAGCCCAGGATTGGTGCCAGATCTCTTCATCCGTTACCGGACCTAAGTCATTTTCCCATTGGGACACATAAGAAGGAGGGGGTGTATCTGTAGGGGAGATTAGAATGGAATAGAGAAGTGAGAAGTCCTGGGCTATGTGGGTCTTCGCTACAAATTCTTTCGAATGGGGACATTCGGCTGGGGCCACTGGGCTTTGGGGTGGACAATGTGATAAAGTTTTTTATTTGGAGATATCGAAAGAGCTCCTTACTCGGGATCTGCTTGTGTTCTTGTAAGTACGGGAAAGGTTTCACACCCGACTCAGATTGTAATTGCCAGAAATAGGTGAGGTGCCGTTCGGTCCAGGCCGAAAAGCATGATGGATGCCTGAGGGCTGGGGTGAACGAGGGGTTGGCAAGAAATGACATAAGGGGCAAGTGCCCGGAGAGAAGTCCGTAAGCAGTTTTAGTGGAATCCCATAGTCTTGAGTGAGTAGGATATGATCGGGTTAGTAATGGTTGGCCTGTGTTTCGGGGCCAGCCAAAGGAGGTTCGCAGCGGACATAGGTGACACTAGAGTATTTTCCAAAACCACCCAGGCCGGGACCTCAAATAGCCAATGGTATTTCACTAGTTGCCCAATCTGTGCCGCTAGGTAGTGTTTAGAAAGACTTGGGACAGCCAGACCACCTCGAGATTTTGGTAAGTATAACGTGCGTCTAGGGACCCTAGGTCGCTTATTCCCCCATATAAACTCAAAGATATGAGTTTGGAGTTTCTTGAGGGCCTGGGCTGGGACAGCTACTGGCAGGACTCTAAAGAGGTATAAAATTTTGGGTAGAAGGGTCATTTTGACCGCTGCTATCCTTCCTAGCCAGGATAGATGGTAATGGGACCAAGTCTTTAACATGGTGGAGAGTTTAGTCAACATGTCCGGATAGTTTGCAGTGTGTAAGGATTGGTAGGAGTGACCCAGTTTAATGCCCAGATAGGGGAGATGATCCGTGCGCCAGGAATAGGGGTGGCTACTGCGTAGGGACTCAACCAGGGTTGGAGGTAAGGAGATATTTAATGCTGTGGACTTTGAGTCGTTAAACAGGAGCCCAGAGATATTGGCAAAGTCCGAGAGGAGTTTTGTGAGGTTTGGCAGGGTTACTACAGGGTTTGTTATAAAGAGTAGCGTATCGTCCGCAAACAGACATTTCCCTAATCATCTTCTTCCAGGACAGCAACCTGAGAGATGATTGGTTCCACCTTCTACAGGAAACACAATTAGTAAAACAGTTAAAAGCCCCTCCCCTTCCACTTCCCCTCGTACCTCAGTTTAGATTGTGTTTCCTACCGTCCAGGACCACGTCACGTTTGTTCTTTTCTTCCTGAGCGTTTGGCCTTAGTCTGCAGAGTCTTTCTCTCCCCTCTCCCCTCTCCCCTCTCTCCTCTCTCTCTCGTGTTTTTTCTCTGTTCTTTGGACACGCCTCTCCAGCAGGTCTCACCGAATCACATTCTTGATTGCAGAGTTCAGAAAGACTTGTCTTGTCCAAAGGTCTTGCTGGTCAGCTAGATTAGTGTCACACAGGAAGAAGGTTCCATCAGATGCCCCTGCCCCCATCCCAGCATACATGCCTTGCTGACACAGGTGTGGGCAGTAAATACCAGCAGGGGGTCGGGCTTGCCCCAGGACATGACAGTCCAGCAGATCTCCTTTGATCAGTGTCCAGCCCCAAGAACCCTTTGATGGTCTTCATTTGCATATCAAACAGCACGGGCAGCTCACGATATTAAGGAACCTTTCCATCAAAGATGTATCATAGATGTCAATTATTTTAACTTCCAACAGGGAGCTAGGAGGTCTTTGAAGGCCACATAGTAAGCCGTTGTAAAGCCATCCGCTCCTGGTCTCTTGCCCCGAGAGAGCGAGGAGATTGGCAATTGTACTTCTCGCTCCGTGATGGGCTCCTCAAACGTGGCCCTCTGCTACTCCGAGAGATGGGGGAGGTCCAGATCTGCGAAGAATTGTTCTGCGCGGTCTGTGGAGAAATTGTCTTGTGAGCCATATAGGCCTGAGAGATGTTGTTGAAAAATATCAAGTACTTTTGTCGGGGTGTTGGTATGGGCTCCGTGAGTAGTCCGCAGCCTGACTGGTTTGAACGAAGGATCTAACCTTCTAAGTTTGGAGGCTAGGAGAGAATCCGCTTTATTACCCTTAAGATAAAATTTATGGGCTGTACGATGTAGTTGTTTGGCTGCATGGTCAGTGAGCAAGAGGTTCAAGGCCTGGCGGGCCGATTCTAGGGCTGTTTTATGCTGTGGAGAGGGGTCTAGAGAAAAGGTTTGGGAACATTCATTGAAGGTT